CTAATATACCAGTCAATATGGCCTTAGAAGCAGTTAAAAAAGAACTAACTGCGGATACTGAACTCAATCATAGGACAAAGCTGTCCATTGAAGAAATTATTTTAGGGGTTCAGCTATGCCTCACATCTACTATCTTTAGATTCCAAGGCAAAATATATAGACAAACTGAAGGTGTAGCAATGGGATCACCAATATCCCCTATCGTAGCAGATATATTTATGGATAGCTGGGAAAATATGGCACTTAATACGTTTAATCCTACTCCAAAAATATGGTGGAGATATGTGGATGACACTTTCACAGTGTTAAAAACAGAACATATCTCTAGCTTCTTGACACATATTAACTCACTAGTAGAGGGGATAAAATTCACATTTGAATCGGAAGATGAACAAGGAGAGTTGGCTATGCTAGATTGTAAAATAAAACGAATAGAAGAAGGTAAACTTCACACTAGTGTGTATAGAAAACCAACGCATTCTAATAGATATTTAGATTTTAATTCGTCGCATCCGTTAACTGTTAAGGCAGGCTTAGTTAAGTGTCTAACAAACCGAGCCATAGCACTAAGTAGCACAAAAAAAGACCTAAACGACGAGATAAAACAGATAGAAGAAGCGTTGGTGTTGAATAATTATCCTTTAAAATTCATTAGGAAGATAACTAAAGGCCAAAAACAAAATAAAAATAATTGTGGAACTAGTAATGATAACATAAATAAGAGAGAATATAAGTCATCGACAGTTATACCATATAAAGAGGGGACATCTGAGACCCTACGTAGGATTCTAAATAAAGCAGGAATTAGGGTGGCATTTAAACCTACAAACTCACTCAGGGACAAGCTCTGTAGGTTAAAGGACCCAGTGGACCCAATTAGACAAAATAATATAATTTACAAAATACCCTGCAATGACTGTGAGGTCAACTACATAGGTCAAACTAGTAGGTCAGGAATAGTCAGATTGTCAGAACATAAGAATTTAGCTAAGATAAGAATGGTTGACCCAAAAAAGATAAGTAATTTAGAAAAAAGCTCGGCAATTGCAATGCATGCATTAACACACAACCACACAATAGGGTGGGAGAGGGTTAAAATTCTAAAAAGTAATCTAGGTAGGTGGAGAGAGAGGTTGATTACTGAATCTTTGTTCATCGAATCTACACCCAACACGTGCAATAGGAATGAATCATCACTAATACCCGAAATATGGAAAATAACACTACCAATCAAATCAAGTGGAAATCAAGTGAAAAATAATGGAACTATATAAATGAATTTAGGAAGTCGTGTGATTACCTTGATATGATTATGAGCAATAAATTGTGCTCGAAACGTCATCAGTAAATATTACTGTATAACACTGTGAGACTCTATCAAAATAAAATTTACCCATAATGGAATTACACTCTACCACAGTGCCCAAGTTTTATTCTTATATCAATTTTTTCTAAATTACTTATCTTCTCTGGGTCAACCATTCTTACCTTAGCTAAATTCTTATGTTCCGACAATCTGACTACCCGTGACCCACTAGTTTGACCTATGTAGTTGACCTCACAGTCATTGCAGGGTATTTTGTAAGTTATATTATTTTGTCTAATTGGGTCCACTTGGTCCTTTAATCTACAGAGCTTGTCCCTGAGTGAGTTTGTAGATTTAAATGCCACCCTAATTCCTGCTTTATTGAGAATCCTACGTAGGGTCTCAAATGTCCCCTCCTTATATGGTATAACTGTAGATTACTTATATTCTCTCTTATTTATGATATTATTACTAGTTTCACAATTATTTTTATTTTGGCCTTTTTCAATCTTCCTAATATGTATTGAGATTTAGGCATTATTGCTTGTCAGATACCATGCATTGCAGGGCAGAAATCGACATTGATTTGTCAATTGTGCTTAGGCAATGAAAGGAGACTGTGAATGAACACACCTGTGTGATATTCGTAAAAGCAAAGAAGCTAGTAAATATTTGACTCCAGGCTTTCTTGTATGTAACGAATACTCTACGAAATGAAAAGGCTTAGTGATAATGTAATGTAAGAGTACAATTTGGGCACTGAGATGGGAAACACTTCCATATTATACAAGTTTATAATACAATATTAGTGATTGAAAGTTCATCGAGTCAACACCAAAATATATGCAATACCTGTTCCGGATGTAGGACATTAAAAAGAGGAGTAATTTCTCTCTTCCCTTGTATTTTGAATAGAACAGGTATTAAAGTTCCAGCAGTGATGGTATGGATCACATAGGGGTGGAGTAGCTCTTCTCACGCCCAACCTTTTTTATCCGGTGTAACTGTCGACCAGTAGTTAACTAAGCGAAGTTTCAGAGTGTGTCTGCCGGAAATCGAACCCGGGCCTCTACCAATGTGGTATGCATTTTCTCACTGAGGCAGTGACGCACACATTAAATACAGGAGCAATTAAACACTATATCAAACAAGTCGTGTGGGGGGGGGATACATTGATATGATTATGAGCAATGAATTTCACTCGGAAATTGATCCAGTTATTAACACCGTGTTATTTCAAATAAACTTACATAATATGGAATTATTGCTACATTATTCAACTGTCAAGATGTCATTCATTGTAATCGGAATTGATGTTTCGCACCGAATGCAATAAATATACCGTCTGAGGCCTCCAATTTCTAACTTCATATGGATTGATTTCTTTACTGGTGAATTTCTAATCTACTTAAACTACATATGTGATATGATTCTGTTAGGTGAAAGTAGTAACACTGTAAACAGATTTTCTAAAATACTTCGATATTTAGTCTGAGGGGAACAGAGAAGATTCATAGCCCATGTATTTATCGTTATTCAAAACAAAAGCTTAGTACATTATGGGCATCAAGAGATGTGCCATACAAAAATCCATAGTTTGTACGAGACCTGGGATACTGGCCGGATACCCAGACAGAAGCAGGTGGTTGTCTTAAGGGTTCACACTTCTAGTCCTTCTAGACTTGAATTCTGACCTACAAGGCAGTGGAGCGGAGTCTTTTGACCAAAACAGGTCCATGTGCCATTCGATCCTCTTGGATTCTGGAGCCCATGTATACAACAGGCTTCGAATCAGGGTATTCTAGCTCCCCTACGTCAACTAGCATGTCCATCAGTCAGTTCACTTGTAAGCAGCAGACGTTGACATCCACCTTTGTGAGCAACACTCCCGCCGCGCGAAGGTAATAAATAGAACTTAGATGTTGGTGGCAATGAAAGTGTTTTGAGAGGAGGACCTAAGGCTACTCACCCTCGGCCGTACCAGGTCGTTTATGAGGGCAATATCAGCTTAGGTGGATGATTTTGATGTGGTTGTATTCTCTGAGTTGGGTGGTTTAGTTGCGCTGAAGAGGTAGTCTACGAGGACAATGAAAGCCTCACAATCAAATCACCCAGCTCAGAGAAGATAATTATACCAAAGTAGTCCGAGAGTACTAAGGATATGTTCCGCCTGTCAAATGTTTATGGTATGAGATGACCGAAGTCCAATTTTAATAATGATGTAAATCTGAACGACTGACTCCATATTATCAGCCAGTCATTGTGCAATTAAGCAGAACAGATTTTTCATGTACCAAGCTAACAGCCACACTTATCGTGTAACGACTGATGATTCTACCCCGGTCGGACTAGGTGGAGTGGGACTGTAACCCGTGACCTATCGGCCGAAATTTGAGTGCTCAGGCCAATGAGTCAGATCAGCGAATCACCACCTATTAGTGCAGACTTGTTATACAGTTGATTAGTTTGTAGCGTGAAAATTTTCACAGTAGTATGGGTTAACATTCCTTAATGCTCCATGTTACAATGTCACGGGGTGCATTAGATACGCATCTCTATCCAGAGCTCTGTTGCTTGCACGCATTTCGTCAAATCTTGTCCGTATAAGAGACACTGATGCCAAGACTGGAATACTGTTGCACACAAAGATGGTTTTGACCAGCAACACACACAACGGCCATCCTCGACAAGTTACTGTTCCCAATCAGAATCTGCCCACCAAAGATTGGTCAGCCTTCGGACTCAACGTCCCCTAGATGACGCGACACCTGTTTCCCAAACAAAGAGATCCAAGCCAGGTGTTTTATTACCACACCTTGACGCCAAATTTTCCCGTCTCGTACAACAAGTAGTTCTCGAGCACGCCACAACTCACGTTCTGATGGGAACGAGGCCACAGATGCTTTATACCTTCCAGTGAACAATACACCACTCCCTCGACATCGGTCCGTCAACCAGGCGCAGAAAATAGACGGTGCAGTGCCAGACTGACCCCATGTAATACATTTTTCCTAACCGGGAGGGGGTGGGTTATATGGCAATCACTGTCCAGTCTGGAAACAAACCAATTAGAACTTGACCCATGTGCAATAACGCTGAACACTTTATTGGTCATGATTACAGACTAACTGACATATCCTAGGTGATATTTTGAACCATGCATTATTGTGGCCCATGTCGTTGTGTTGTCATTTAAAGTAGTGCACCGTAGGGAAACAGGTAGCCATTGTATAATGCTGTTGTTAGCGTAGTATAACGATAGTCGTGTTCAACGTATGTGTCCAATTCAGCGTTCCTATTTCAGTCTCAGTTGGAGATGATCTATGAGAAAATCTACCCTATAAACCAAAAACACGCTAATCAAATAATGAACATACGTGAAAAAGTAAAGCGTAATTATAGTAATAATAATAAGCACCGTTATTCAACACATTTGTTCATAGAATGTCTGTAATACGTAATACAACGAAAAGTCATTTTTACAAGGTATGCGTGCATATATATATATATATATATATATATATATTTGTCACAAGCACTCTTTCAGTGTGCGTAACACCAAGCGTATATATATATACATATTACCAAATCACCATTGTCCCGAAAATAGCAAAATTACGAATAAACAATGAAGACGATTACAAATCATCCGTCGGAATAGAAACATAATAACAGAAAATAGATTCTGATGTGTTGAAAGATTTGAAGAGTAGTCCAACCAACATTATTGGTTACAATATACAATAGAATAATTTAACCTTTGACGTTTGTTCAATAACCGCAACAGACTACTTATATATTCATTTATATATATATATATATATATATATATATATAAATGCATATATAAGTAGTCTTAAGCTTAATATTCGTAATAAACTTGTGGAAAAATTAGGAAAAGAAAGGTATTCATCACGTATAAGTACAAGCTAATAAGGATGTATAAAGTTTGTCACAACGATAACAACAACAACAACAACAAAAGAAGAAGAAGATAAAGGAGGAGAGTGCTATTCATTAAACCGGTGGTTCAAGAAAACGCATAACAAGTTGTACAAGAAAGGCGAATATGCTGAATACAACAATGACAAATAATTTTGGAATATACCATTCATTTCTATTTTCAGCATTATTTACTCCAGCATTATTTGTATTTTCATCTGCTGTTGATGACGTCGCCGTCTGTGATCGACCACGATTCAAGGAATTTTGTAATTGATTTTTAAGCTCTTCCACTCTTAGATTTTCACGTATTTCCTGCAAGAAAGAAAGGAAAAACTACAACAACACGCACATACACACACACAAGATGACGATTAAGGCACTTACTCAAACACTTTCGATGGTTACACATGCGATATTTTTCTCAGTGTGTGCTTTCAATGCATCAGTGCATTATCGGGACAATAAAAAAGCAATTTCCTAAGGAGGATAAAATCTTTGTGCTGAAGCGCTACTGTAGATATTTTACACATGTTAGGATAAGTTGTCTAAGTTACTACAGATAGTAAACGTAATGTCTGCCAACCTGATCATTTCTATTCGACTTCAATTCAGAGAAGAAAATTTTCTTTATTGACGAAATCATCTTCCTTCAGAGGTAGTACAGTTGTATTTATATTTACCAAAAATGTATAATAGTCCATTATTGAGTAATAGGGTGTGACATAATTGATATAATTTCTCAGAAGTGTCTTCCAAAGTAAAAATAAAAGTTGTAAATTACGTAGTACTCAACGGCACAAAGGAAGAAAGCGTTAGAAATTTGATAAGGTTAAAATCGCTGTTGAGTGAGAATAAATGTAGTTGAGTGTCAATTTAACACGTGTGAAGAGAGTGTGAAAATGTACAAAAGGAACATATGAGGGTGATGATAGTAAATTAATTATTAAAGTTAAAGCAAACCAAAAGTAAAATTGAAAATTAAAGAATAAAAGTTCTTACAGGGAACGACTAATGAACAGGTTAGGACCATGTCATTTGCGTGTAGCGGAAGCGTTGGCAATTCGTCAATACAACCCGGAACTCTGTATACGTTTGTCCAGTCTCTTATTCTACCATGGTCCTAACCTGTTCATTAGTCGTTCCCTGTAAGAATTTTTATTCTTTAATTTTCAATTTTACTTTTAGTTTGCTTTTACTCTAAGAACTAAGTCACTATTGTCACTGTCATATGTTCCTTTTGTACATTTTCACACTCTCTTCACACGTGTTAAATTGACACTCAACTACATTTATTCTCACTCAACAGCGATTTTAACCTTATCAAATTTCTAACTCTTTCTTCCTTTGTGCCGTTGAGTACTACGTAATTTACAACTTTTATTTTTACTTTCGAAGGCACTTCTGAGTAATTATATCAATTATGTCACACCCTATTACTCAGTAATGGACTATTATACATTTTTTGGTAAATATAAATACAACTGTACTACCTCTGAAGGAAGATGATTTCGTCGATAAAGAAAATTTTCTTCTCTGAATTGCCTTTTATTTTCTTCAAAACACGTAGTTTACCAAAGAGGCTGTTTTAGGTGAATTTATTTCCTTTAGCTGTAGAATTGCACTTATATGCAATTTTTCGTTTTCATTAAATAGTGTAGTAATGAAAGTGATGAGTCGTCATAGTTACAGTTGTTAATATTGGTCCATGCACAAAAGGAGTTGAATAAGTGTGTTAGGGTTACGTAACAAAATGATCAGGATACACATCCCATCTCAACTAACGCCTCCTTCAAAGTAATCTACAAAGTGAAGAACAAATTACCAAAGGCAATACGCTTTCATCTCCTCTTTACTACTGAAGCCTTACACATTCAATTAGAAAAACCAAAGTTATGCTTACAAAGGAAAATTACCCAAACACTACTGTTACTACTGACTTGATTTTTGTTTGCTTGTTTTTTTTCTAACTCATAACTCTTGTATTTCTTTAAAGCTCTTAAGTAACTCCACATTCTCTTCCACTTCTATTTGCATCCTGATTACAACTCATTCATTAAATCATTCATTTTATTACGTAACTCCAATACACCAATTCAACTCCTCATATGCATTGAACAATATTACTAATTATGATTGTGACAACTCATCACTTTTGTTACTACCGTCTCTCATGAAACAAAAAAATTGTACATTGATGAAATTGTACAGCTAAAGAGGAGCATGAATTCGCTGAAAACAGCCTCTTTGCTGAACTATATGTCTTGTTTTCATCAATGTCCCGATGAAGATTATTCATGAATTGAAAACATAAAAAGAGTCTGCACATTAAGTCAATTTATTTATTTTCATGTCTACAGTACACCATGGGTGTTTTTGTTTTGCTTTACGGTTGTAGAAAAAAGGAAAAGTTATTGGATTGATGGATGGCAAAGTCTATAACGGTAAAATGTGTTCCTTTAAACTTCAGAATTACTTACACTATCTCCAGTAGTTTCATAAAGATATCGGTGCTTGAAACTCCGGAGGTAATGAAATATTTTTAGCTCAGAAAGGCAAACTACAAAAGGTTCAAAAAAGCTAACGCTGAAAATAGCCGCCTTCAAATGCTTCAATGAATCTGGTTTTCGACGGTAGTTAGACCTCCTGAACAACTATTTTAACAATCTCTCAACTAAACCCAATAGTATTCTAATCAAAGAGCATTCAGAGGCTGTTTAAAGATCAGTACAAAATAAGAACACTCATTAAGGAACCAGATGAGGCGCCAGAAACCATAGGATGAAGGTGAGCTTCAGAAAGTAAAGCCAGCGAAAGATTAAACTGAAAAAGTAGAAAAGGAAATCACGAACTAAAGAAACTAAAAGAAGGGCATATTTCAACAACAATATCCGAAAACCTGAAACCCACAGGTAGCACCGTTTCATGGACTGTACGGTTCATCAAGGTGAGTAAATTAGAAGTGTCAATTTGTTCCATCCTAGTAAGTCCCATTCACCTTACCATGGGACTGCTAGCGCTATGTGATCTGTTTGAGTCCAATGTCGATTTGGTGATGGAGATTGCCAGGTCACGCAGTCTCTCTTTGTGCCTAAAGTTAATGTTGACTAGGAACAGATGATTATCTGAACAGAACTGTAGAAGACAATCATCGTTGCAAGTTCGTTGGCAGGGAATTCCATACGTACCACCTACATACTTCTCAGTCTGGCATAACTTCCCCACTTAGGCATTGAAGTCGCCTGCAGCAAACTAGACAGTTTCAGGTAGAAATCATCCTTTAGCTCATCCGAACTGCAGTCTATTGGGGCGTAAGCGGGGACTATGAAAAGACAACAACGGGTAACGCCATTCTTCCTTCTTCTAACGAACCCGTTCAGATCGACCGCACACATACGACTATCTACTGGGATCCAGTCAAGAAGTGATTTTTCTACCCCAACACTCAGTGCTATCCCTATACCTAAGAGTCATCGCGAACCAGATGAGGGGTCTCCTGACACCCTTAAGGTGAATTTTGCAGATTCACCTTGCTGGTCGGGTGGGGTTAGGTGAATAACCACACTAGGGTCTTGTATGCGTGTCTCCGAAACACAACATACAACCATGGTTGGAGATGCTGCAGTTTTTGCCAGTGATACCTGTTATCCAATTTGGCAGAGGGTCCTAACGTTGAATGCTCCAATATGAAGTTGGTGGCGTGGCTTTAAAAAGCTATCGAGGGGGGTTTCCTGGCTCCCATCGTTATTTGTGGTCACAGAATGACATGAAGATGACAGACTAGTCTGCAGAACAGTACTGACAGTGGTAGGGAAGCAAGGAGATGAGGGTGACAGCGATAAAAGAGGATGATCAACAGGAGGGTTTCGTGTGCTTTTGGAAGTGTGTGCGCGGTTGTTACTTCCCGGTTGTTCACATTGTGGAGCTATTCTTAGTTACAACAGGTATTCAGATAGGCGATGAATAGGCATGTATAATACATATCCCAAATTTATAAGGTGCTGGACAATTATAGCTCTCTTCATGAACCTACTCTTTTTACTTAGGACTACGATTAACTTCTATATTACAAAATAGGATAGTTTTAGTTAATATCACACAGTTATATAGTATTTCGTATTAACTGATGGTGTTCTGAGCACGACTGATTGCTTTTTGAAGTCACATAACCTGTTGTACTAACACACTACTTGTAATTAAATGCACCAGTAACATTTCATTCTCCCCAAAAATCATTTAGGCGGAAGAAGGAATAATGACTAACACAATTCCCTCACCTAGCTGTAGGATATTCTTTAAGGTTTTACGATGTAGCGCAACGTTTTTGTAACCCCACATAGTATTAAGGCGCCTAATGCATTTTTGTATGCACTAGAACTGTCATAAGAAACGTTTTTATGCTACTGTATGCACGTAGACAAAATAAAGTAGTACGGTTAAGTTCCTGCAGTATGAAAAAATGCATCTTACCGGGCCTAGTTCACTACCCAGCCCTAAGTTCGGCATATAGGGAAGGGAGAACATGTGGTTAGCTACCCTACCCCTTAAAAATCCCATTGCTGCTAAAACTTAAAAGCACAAACAACATACTGCACGCTCGATAATTCTAAGCCAACTACCACGGTGTTTAGTGGGTTTTACAACTCTACATTGGTCGTAGGGCAGTAGAAATAAGTTCTAATTGGTGTTATAAGTTCATTGCTGCTTAACTGACTGGCTGCTACTGCCGGCGAAACGCAGGAGTTACACTAAAATACTTATTTTACAATTCACAAACTGGAGATGGAAATTACACTTCAAATGGTAAAAACATGAACATGAATATGGAACTCACGGCGTCTGACTTTAAACCTACCTCTACAATTTGAGGGAATAACTCACAGAATACCTCCGACTTTAGGTTGAAATCCCCACTGCTTCTAGCTAACTGTTTCTTCATATTTACTGATGTTACAATGCTGCCCATAGTACAAGTATTTTCCAACATGAAACTTAACAAGCCTGTAAGAATAGAAGAGACGGACCAAGCGGGATTCCACGTGTCCGGATGGAAATCACTGATTGATAAACAAAGTCTGAAAAACGGGTCTGATGTGTCATCGCTTTTGCTTACCTGGTATTGCAGGCGAACCTACCATTCGGTGTTATCATATATATGGCAGGAGGACGGAATGGAAAGTCTTTGGGGAATACAAGTTTGCCATGATAATAACCCCCTTTGTACGGCGAATCAGAAGGTCCTTTAATTACATAGTGCCACTCGAAAAGATTTGTTGGAAGTGGTTCTGCAGTTACAAAAGGTACAGGATCTCGTGACAGTCGCAGGTAATCCTGTTTTAATCTTTGTAGAGCAGTGGAACACTTAACTGGGCGAGTAGTTCCTGACATGAATGTAACGCAACTATCGGTTGGAGTTTGTTAGGTTCCAATGTCCAATGTCAGATATGAGAGCAGTGATTCACCTATGACATTGGCTGGCGACTAGGCTATATATATATATATATATACGCAACTGACAAAGGCTGAAATTCATGGGCCACTGGATCAGGTCTCAGTAGCTGAAAGGTCTACGAGCAATCCACATGACCAGGTCCCGAGTTCGAACCTTGTGGTACGTGCTGCTAAAGAGTCCCATACCAAGCCGAAATGGCTGTCCAGTATTTCCAGGTATTCTAGTGTTTTTAAGCGATTTCAGCTAGTAATCCAATCCCTACAAACCAACACTTGACAATACGTATTTAAGAGTAAGTGAAAACCGAATTGATTTCCTTGAGATAGTTTCTTGACTGCGAGGCAGAGCCTTCTGCGTGGTTTGTCACATAACTTACTGAGAGGTTTGGTATGCGATTGGAGTTAATTCTTTGACCAGCAAGACGTTCACTGCGAATAAAAATAGAGATATCAATAGTTGAATGATATGGCCAATCAAAAATGTGTAAACTGCATGTCAGAAATGAAAAAAACAAATAACTGATGAAGGATCTTAGTCCCAAAGCAAATGCGTAACTAGGAAAAGTAATCAGAAAAGTAAGACAAGTTTAGCTGAAACCCACTGAGATAATGTGGTATTTGGAGGGAGTTACATCTTAACTTCATCAAGTAGGCAGTCTATTAAGTGCAGATCCATGTGTTACCTCATGACTATGCAGCTTCCTCCTGAGGCTTTCCAATGAAGTTACAGTAGACAGGCTTACTGATAAGAATCGGCAAGCCACAAGCGTAAAGAAATGGGAACATACTCCAGTCCTCAACCTGCATTGGTTGCTACAGGAAGTCTATAATCACTGAACAGTAGCAAAACCTTTAAGTGGTTCTGGTCATTTATAATCTTATTAGCAGTGATTGGGTGCCCCCTAAATATGTTATGACGTAATTTCGGTAACCTGACGTTTTATGACCTGTTTCGTAGGTGTATAACCTATATCGTAACCTTAGGTTGAGTCTGTGTCAAAAGTTTAGTATCGTTTTGAAGGAATTAGTCCGGCAGTGCTGCTGTGGTGTCTCTATAACAAATTATGCTGTGTCTACTCAGATGTAGTAAATAATTTTGAAATTCCTAGCGAAAGAGCGAGGTTTTTGTTTGTTGTACGGTGAATGGTATTCTATTTGTTTAACCACGCTTAACTTGCCCTCTGTCGTGCTTACTAAAATAAAGGTTCACAAACTCCATAGGTCTTCAGTAATATTGTAGATCATTGGTTGGTGATATGAATAATTATTTTGATTGAGAAGTCAGTTTCCAAATTAGTAGGCTCATTTCGTTTACATTTTGCCTTCTCTTTTGTTGTAGTTGACCATTGTCTGAATACCTGTTTTGTTTTTTGGCTGTTTTCCGGGTTTATTTATTTACCCACTTATTTTTCTTGCTAATACGTATTATTTAGTTCAATATTTTTTGTTCATCATAATGTTTAACCCGCCAAACATGGAAATTGACTTTAAGGGCTCTCTTTTGCAGAGGCCAATACTTCAGTAACCACCGAAGATGGGTTACCTGGATTCGATCAGCATGACCCGGCACTACGGTTATAGAAAGTGCTTTCTATAACATTCCAGCTTCTATCTATCCGAAATGTTTTGGGAAAGGATGCTCTCTTCTACATTTGTGTCAGCCAAGTACTAGGTTTTGTTGACTACATCTCAGATATAAAGCTTGCTGCTTTCACCACCTGCTACGGTCGTGGCTTACGCATGCCGGTGGGATAGTTTCCCATAGTCTTCGAGCCTTTGTCAAAATTACACAGTTGTTGATAATATTTAAATTCCTGGCCATAAGTATTATGATATCAACACCAGTCAAGGTTTGTAGACACACGTGGTTTGGATTTCGACCAACCACGTTTGTTTCTATTTTGAGGGGAGTTCCTTCGACAGTATGAGGAAACACGGGGGCTGTTTGGCTAAGTAGTCACTTAAAAGAGCTGCATGACCCTGTCACTTTGATGTCATCAGTCTACTACTGTTCACTGATTTGCCGCATTTCTGTGACTGGCCATTGTGACATTTCCTAAGTTTTTCAGCTAAAGTGGCTAAATCTTTAATAACAACACTTTGGGGAGTCCCAAGCACAGTCTGTAATGGTCGGGGCAACTCTAAAGTGTCCCTCATTGAACTGACGCTGGTCAATTACTTATCAAATTCGTGCTAGCAAATTTCCCGCAAAATGATAGCCCAGATCGACACTGCGAAAAAGTTCGTCAATAGGCTGCCTATTCAAGAGATCGTTCCTCTTAAGGACGGCTGCTACAATCATCTTGAAAAGGTTGCTTACTGCTGAAGTAAACATTTGCATGGTAACGCATTTAATTAATTCACTATATAGAGCGTGGAAAACTGCAAGGAACTGTGAACGTTGGTCAGTGGACCCATGTTCATTGAATTCAGACTCGGTGGACGGAAACAACGCTTGTCTTGTCAAAACAGCACGAGCTTAAAAGGGGTGTTAGTTGGTCGGATGAGGATGAGCTTAGGTGTATGGTCACTCGATGCAAAGAAATATATAAGAAATAGCAAATATAACTGAAGAAAAAGTACAAAACACAGCGAATTCACAGCAATCGTCTGAGTGTTAATCGAAGATGAAGTTGGCGGTTGGGCTAACCAGCGAAGAAGTTGAGGGCGTTGCCGCTCACAGATAGTATGAAGTACGCAAGATCTTATACCCACAACGCCTGCGGTATTTTTTGGCATAGACCAAAAACAAATGAAAACATCAGACTGATCGTCCAAATTACAACGTACAGTTCGGGACTAAAATCGTAGTGCGAGGATGACTGTTTAACTAGCTAGGGATCATGTACGAACAACCGAACGTAACACGACAGCATGACAAATGGCGTGGATGCTTGACCGTGAGTTTTCAGAAAAATGAAAGGACTTAAACAATGAGGTTCAAAATCCAGTGTTCAGTGAGTAGTGCTGTAGCTAAAGATTGTGGGGAATAACCTACCGCAACAGCTCACTCCCCCCTAGTGGGGTCGTGAGGACCCTAAGACAGAACCAGCCAGAAGTAAAATAAACTCAACGGTTCCCATCGGCAGAAATCTCCTCTGAGTGGCTTGGCGGAGTGCCTACTGGTTGTCTACCTATGTTAATCGGGTGTCTGTGCACCCCCTGGCATATTTGTCCGTTATATCTCGTGCTTTGTTTCCTTCTTGTCCAGTGTCCGTCGCACCTGGAAAAGAAAAGAAGAATGCTAAGAACCTTGTAGGGGAAAATTTGCCGAAAATAACGTTTGAAAAATGATATGCATCTACCACACAACAAAACAATGCGAAATACAGAACATCGAAAAAAGTATATATGTAATATTTTTAGTGGACGTAACCTGAATGGTTACAAAAAGGTTTTCTTACTTGTGTTGCGGGATGCAATATGAAAAGAATTGATTCACCTGAAAGAAAAAAATAAATAAATACCACAAGCGGATAAAAATTATGTGAATCGCATCACTTAGTTATGTGAAGTAAATGTGAATATGTTCTGGGAATCTCACATGTCGTCCAGAACGCGTTTTCTTTGAGGGTTTGACAGAAGGTTTGGTGGCTTTCGCCGTACTAGTGATTTCTTCGAGGATTAGAGGATATTCTGTTACTTGTGGATTATTGGGAACACTCAGCTCTAGGCTAATATGATTGCCTTCTAAGTAGGCCGGTTTCAAATGGTCGATGCTGACGGTGTCTTCGCGGCTTTTTTTGTCTAAGACAAAGAATTTATCCATAAGTTTAGTGACTTTATACGGTCAGTCGTATGGGGGTTCCAGATGTCGACGCACAGAGTCACGACGAACAAATACATGTGTAGAAGTTTTCAAACACGAGTGAACAAATATGTCTGTGGACTGTGATCGAAGGGGAGCAGGCTTGACTGGATGCATTGCATTTGTAAGTCTGCTGACGTATGAGGAGTGACCTACCGCTGGTGGGAAGCTCGAAGGAGACACAAACACCTGGCGATCATAGCGTAGTGCCAGCAGCAGTACAACCAGCATCAGTTTTCAAGGCGTTTCGTATCCCTAGGAGAACTAACGGTAGTGATTGAGTCCGATATACATTGTTTGCAGCTGATAATCCAGCCTTCAACTGTCACTGTATTGTACTTGTGTAAACTCAATAGGCTGTGAACTGCTGCCAATGAAAACGACAGAAATTCTTGGAATTATCAGTTATAATTTTAGCGTAGAAGATTTAGTACAACATGCACACTCATGATTTTACTATGCAGTATGCACGGCAAATGCATTACTTTAGGGGCCTACACAGTTCACAAATTAACTCACAACACTGAAGTGAAAAAGTTTACAAGAAATGCACGCCATTTTTACAGGCACGATCAGTAATGTTATAAATTAAAATCCTGAAGTATCATAAATTAATACTTTTTCAAAAGTTTAAATTGTTCGTTTATTGTACAAGCAATCAGAACAGGCTCCTGTTAACGTTAAATTGTAAGCCCTCCACTAAGGTCACCATCAAATTTAAGCGATCACTCGAACTTCGTTCTGTTTCCTGCTGATCGTTATGGTCAACCAGTGAACAGCGTATATCTGGGTGAGTGCTATGTCGCCACGTGATTGAACGCTATTTCAGGAAGAGGAGAAAATTCTGCGCAGCTGCAAAGAGGTATAAAATGCAATTATGAATAAAACATTATTGGAAGTATATTTACAAGATAAATACAAGGAGAGGAAGCTATATAGTACTTGAAATGATAGTTTACATTTGCAATGTTTAGTGCTAACCATATTGGTCTAAGCATGGAAACTATCACGTTTCCGATGAAAATATAGCTTTGTTCAAACATTGGTGTTGTTGTGTTTTTAGTCAAATCAACCAGACTTAAAGCAAGCAACAAATATGAATAAAGAGCAAGTTTCAGCTTCAATAAAGGCCTAGGTAGTTAAGATCGGATAGAGTATAATAGTGCGTAAA